TGTTTCTGTGCTAATCTCCCATATCGGCTGACACAGTTCTGTTGTATCACATTCTTTTAAACTTTGTTGGCCAAAAAGGAAAGTTAATTTCAGACTTACAAACTGCCCCTTGAGGAATTTTTTAAGAAACTTGTGTTTTAAAAAATGTCAATGAAATGCATTAGAAAGTGTTCCCAATTACACACTTCGACCACATGAGTTGCTGTTTTTTCAGCTGTTTATATAAGAGGTTTAATAAAATTGACATATAATCTAGCAATAATTATTCCCATGTGTGTTTTATCCTTTCTACTATATTTCTTCATGTTTTTACTTTCATTTCAAAGGAATCAAAGCCTCTGTGATTACAATGTGGGCATATGCAGGGACATCTGCATGTGTCTCTGCTGTCCCTTAAGTTTGAAGCCATTAGCTAATTGACCAAAGACATCAGCTTATTCCAAGTTTATTGAACATTGGCTACTATGCACAGGGAAAACTGCAACCTGATAGCAATCTTTATTAGATATGAAATCCTCATAGGAGAGCAATGTTTTGAATAATATTAATGATGGAAAAAGCTTCTGTCAGAGTTCACACCTTATCGGCCACAAAAAAAAAAAATCTAACCACAAAACACAAACCCAAAGGAAACTAGATTTTATTGGTTCCATGCTCCCAGAAATACTTGTTAATGCAGCTGCTGAATGACTTGCTTGCTTTTTTACTTCTTTGGGTTTCAGCATTATTAGTGTTAAGGACAGAAATATCTACTGCTATCTGTTGAAAAGACATTTGGTATTAAACAGCCATTGCTGAGTCAGATAAGAAAAGGCCCTTTAATGGAGTGGCCCCCAAGCTTTCTAGACCAAGAATTCCTATATCCTTTTCTTGCAGGATGCACCATATCCCATAATGCATTCAAGTTTTAACTGAAAATACTCTTGCATTAATATGACCCAGTTTGGGGCTTTAATTTGGGAATCAGTCTAAGATAATATACTAAGCTCAAAGAATAATGAATGCAGAACATCTGAAGTGCCAGTGCAAACTACTACTGTGTACGAGATTCAAGTTTAACTTTGGAGACTTGCAGAGATTTCTAAACAAGAGCAGAGTATTTCTCAAAGTGGATCTCAAAGTGGATTCATGGCAATAAGCTGTAAAAAAAAATAAATATAAATCCATGCCTATTGGGTTGATTTTTCTAGTGTCAATAGAAGCTTAAAATCATTTAAAAGCAGATAACTAAAATCATTTTATTTTCCTTTCTAAAAACATTAGCGTCACTGGCATATAGGCAAGGCGAGCCAAAACCCTGAGATGCTGCCTCCATGTAATTAATCAGTGTGACTTAAGCAGGGTCAGCATCTGGCTGCTTTTAATGGAAGACAAAGGAGTTAATAGCGGATTTCTTCGTGTGAGATCAGCAAGCCCACAACTATCCTCCACCTCGAAACAACCCTTCCTTTTTCCTGTCCCACTCACCATTTGTTGCGAGCAGACGTGGCAAGTATTATTTGATTTAAAGATTTTCACTGGAAAATGCTGGTTTGTCCAAAAAAAAAAAAAGCTTTATTAAGCTTTATTTGTGGAAGAGAGTTGGTTTTGATGAACTCCCAGTGAAACCCTGGCAAAGCTAATGGAGAAGGAAGGCTTCCAGAGTGTGGGCTGGTCCTAAACAAGCAGACCACTCCAAAGTAGGACCACCTCCAGTTTTCCTGGATCCACAAATCCTGAGCTGCCTTGCCACACACTAACCTGGATTCACAACAACTGCTTGGGAGTTTTGCTTGTTTTTCTTTTTCCAGATTTCCCTTTTGTGGAAAATTTGAGAATTTTCACTTTTCCTTCAAGAATAGAACTTAGAAATTTGGAGGATTGGGTGTAACAGAAACATTGGGTGCCAACCAGCTCTACTTTGGATAGTTTCAAGGTCAAGCACTCAGCATTTGGTTTACTTCAGACCATAGAGAGCTGAGAAGTGCTCATCTTCTGCTAACCCTTCTGAAGATTTGCTTCTTTCTTGAGGGCAATAAATTCTAAACCTGCATCAATAGAAGCTGTCCCTGCTCTATGGAAACAAAGCCCCTCATCTCATAATCTCCTGAGTGCTGTCTGTCTAGTTAAACTAAAGCAATTGCAGCTAGGGACAGTGTGCTGAGGAGAGAAGGGGGTTTATACTTGGTATACTACTCAAAAACTTGTCCAAAAAACCTAAAGCCCTATATAGGAGCTTAATTTTAAACCTGCAAGCAACATCATTACATCTCAGGGTTTGTGAGACTGATTTATTTTCAGAAGTCAGCACTTAATGGAGATTAAAAATAACTCACTTACTTTTATAATAGTATCCAGCAAAGTGGGCAGGAGACCTGCATGGATGAGCAAGGAGCTCCTGGCAAAACTCAAACAGAAGAAGGAAGCATACAGAATGTGGAAAAGGGGACAGGCCACTTGGGAGGAATATAGGGACATTGTCAGAGT